TGAATAACAAGGGATCATTGAGATACATCATTATCATGAATAACAGGGGATCATTGAGATACATCATTATCATGAATAACAAGGGATCATTGAGATACATCATTATCATGAATAACAGGAGATCATTGAGATACATCATTATCATGAATAACAAGGGATCATTGAGATACATCATTATCATGAATAACAGGAGATCATTAAGATACATCATTATCATGAATAACAAGAGATCATTGAGATACATCATTATCATGAATAACAAGAGATCGCTGAGATACATCATTATCATGAATAACAGGGGATCATTGACGTACATCATTATCATGAATAACAGGGGATCATTGAGGTACATCATTATCGTAAATAGAAATTAGACGTTCATTCCGAATAATACATTCATTCATCAGACTTCATGTTCTTATTGGAGAAAATGTTTTCAAGTTTTAAATATTGAAGTACGATGACGCACATTAGCATCTAATAATCTAAATATTATAAAAAAAACTCACCTTTTTCTGGTACTAGCTTGCTTGGTACGAAAAGTGGAAATAGTATTAATGAATTCATAACCACAAAACCTGGAGAAACAAAGAGAATACTCGAGCTGTTAAGGCTACAAATTGGTTTACAGAAAATCAGCTTTAAAACCCTGGTTTATCCAATTAATAGGAAAATGAAGTTAATCAAACATGATATTTTAATCACTGTGTTTCGTTAGTAAAGTAATCAAGATATTTGTAGGGCTCATCATCGAATCATCAACAAGTAGTCTCACACTGGGGGTCACTGTTTGTTAAAAGTAAAAAAAAATGGCCAAGCAAGTCTGTTTTTGTATTTTTTAGACATCGTTAAAAAATGAATCCTTCGGTTATAAATGAAACATAATTCTAACAAAAGGTGTGAAAATTACGTTTAACTCCAGTTGTTTTTAACGCGTCTTCCACGTAGTTCATTACATGTTTCAAATTACAGTGGTGTGAAAATATCTGTACGTGATTTCTGTCCAGTTTTTACATCATGGTGTTGAAAAATTATTCTTTAGTTTCGAGGAGCAGTGACTAATGATAGACAAAGAGTAGAACTGTTTTAGTGTGAAATGTGCAGTTAAATGATTCTTTTGTTTCGAGGAGCAGTGACTTATGATAGACAAAGAGTAGATCTGTTTTAGTGTGAAATGTTCAGTTAAATGATTCTTTAGTTTCGAGGAGCAGTGACTTATGGTAGACAAAGAGTAGATCTGTTTTAGTGTGAAATGTGCAGTTAAATGATTTTTTTGTTTCGAGGAGCAGTGACTTATGATAGACAAAGAGTAGATCTGTTTTAGTGTGAAATGTGCAGTTAAATGATTCTTTTGTTTCGAGGAGCAGTGACTTATGATAGACAAAGAGTAGATCTGTTTTAGTGTGAAATGTGCAGTTAAATATGATTCTTTTGTTTCGAGGAGCAGTGACTTATGATAGACAAAGAGTAGATCTGTTTTAGTGTGAAATGTGCAGTTAAATGATTCTTTTGTTTCGAGGAGCAGTGACTTATGATAGACGAAGAGTAGATCTGTTTTAGTGTGAAATTTGCAGTTAAATTATTAAGAGGCGTGTGATAAAACCCGAGTCTCCTGTGATTTTTACCCTAATTTATTGATTAGTGTTAACAATATAATTTGTTATACGTTAGATTAGGCGTTTAACACAACAAAATTTAGACTTGAGATAAAATAATTGAACTGAACGAAATACAAAATGTCCATATTTGAAAGATCTGAAGTAACACACCTCGTAGCTTCAATCCCAGCCAGTACATTTTTTGTGACTGTACGTTAGTCCTACCTGGGAGGAAGAAGAAACATATAATTAGTTCTAAAAACATCAGTGATTCCTGATAGAGTTTTGGAGCTGTATAGCTTCTGCTGCTAACGGACAGAAGCTAGAGCAGTCCATTAATGCGTAGACTCTACCATATCTACACTACCTAAATACCCTTAAAAAACAAATAAATATATAGATACCTCTTTCTTTCGGAGTTTGTATGCAAATATATATTATGAAGTGCTGACAGGTGTTAACGTAGACGTACAGTATGATGAAGAAAAGACCATAAACTCCAGAATAAAATTATATTTATTTCGTTCACCGTCTACAACTTCTTCGGGAACACCCTTGACACTAAGTGACGGAGATGTAAACAGGTTTACTGTTACTTTTGCTAGCGGATAGTACAAAGCAGCAGCCAGCTGTTCCTCAGGTTACTCGTAGCAAGCAGTAGGCTTCACGAACCGTGACTCACTCCGATATCAGTGGTTTCATCAGAACTTTGTACGACATCTATAATATTTTGCACCATTTCACGGCTACTTTAGCAGCACTTTGCACAATTTTCAGATTTACTTTGTACTCCTTGAATATTATAACAGCACTTTGCACATTATCAGATATATTTTGTACCCTTTCCTCACTATTTTAACAACACTTTGCACATCATCAGATATATTTTGTACCCTTTCCTCACTATTTTAACAACACTTTGCACATCATCAGTTTTTTTCTGCGCCATTTCATGGCTATATTAATAGCATTTTGCACATTATCAGTCTTATTCAGCCTCCTTTGTAATGTTATTTAAAGAGCATTACTTACTACGCATGCACAGTGTCTTCTGCTAACTGGTGTTAATCTCATTTTTAAACCCTTTGTCTTTCATTATTAACTTCTATTCTTTTGATCATCGGGTTTCTCATCATTATCCTTCATTATCTCTAAATTTATTCTCACGATCTTGAATTTTCTCTTTACTTATTCAACCCTTTTCAATTAATTGCCTTTTTTCTTTGTTAACAATATCGATCTTGTTCTTCGAGCACATATTTAGGTTTCTATTTTCGTTCTTTTGTTTTGTTCTTCCAATTTTCTGTCACATTTCTTCTGATTGTTCAACTACAAGGATGAAAGATAAACATTTTCTCTTCTTTTTTTTCTCGCAATCTGAGGGTCGCGGGTTCGAATCCCCATTTCACCAAACATGCTCGCCCTTTCAGCCGTGGGGGCGTTATAATGTGACGGTCAATCCCACTATTCGTTGGTAAAAGAGTAGCCCAAGAGTCTTACACTGCTAAATTAGGGACGGCTGGCGCAAAACAAACTTTTTTCCTGACAGATTTTTAGTATCAGGATTTCGAAGAAATTAGTTTGGGATTTAGTGATGACCAAAGATTATACTGAGAAACAAAACTTGATTTATTTAGGAATAACAATAAATTATTTTGAATACGAGTTCTAAAAGCTGTAATAACATGTGGATTAAATATTCGCCTTTTCTCGATTATAAGAAACTACTGATTTGTTTGAAACAACCACGAAGTTTCTGGTGACTAGCTACTATCCTTCTAGTCAAGTCTCCAAGTGGACTTACAACACTAAAGTCTGGGGGTCGATTCCCCACAGTGGACACAGCAGATAGCCCGATGTAGCTTTGCTCTAAAACAAACAAACCTCCAGTCCATCAGTTCCAAATTAGAAACGTGTAATTTCGAGCGGATATCCGAAGCAAACTATATCTTAATATCAAAAGTAAGTAGTCTATCCCAGAACCGTTCTTTGGTTTGTTTGATTTGAATTTCGCGCAAAGCCACACGAGAGCTATCTGCGCTAGCCGTCCTTAATTTGGCAGTGAAATATTATAGGGAAGGCAGCTAGTCATCACCACCCACCGCCAACTCTTGGGCTACTCTTTTAACAACAACTAATGGGATTGGCTATCACATCATAACGCTTCAACGGCTGAAAGGGCGAGCATGTTTAGTGATACGGGGATTCGAACCCGCTACCTGCAGATTGTGAGTCGAGTGCTCTAACCACCTGGCCATGACGGGCCTTAACAGTTATGGTAAAATGAAACGAGAAAGTACACTCCCTCATTCTTTGTAATTATGTAATACTTGCTTATATCATAAGCAATGTTAAGGTGTTGTTACACAGGTATACTAGGAAAATAGTTTGACTGCACACACGGAGAGTACTGTTGAATCCGGATTCACGAGAAGAATTTAACATTAGTATCCGTCAGAGTAATTAGTGAGTTACTGTTTTAGTATTTAGATATTTAGGCTTTATAGTCAAATCAACAAGTGCGAAACTATGATAATGATATCGTATAAGTTCATACATTCAGTGAGAAAAGAAAGAAGTAGGCCTAAATGGGATTGCATCTGTTAAAAAAAAAGTGTAACTATAAGATAAGTAAATATTTTCAACTTTCCGCGACACGTAAAATATTTGCGATAGTTTTCGTGCCCTTAACTTGAATTTTCCTTATTCTATTCTTTTCACACACGCCATTTAAGCTAGTTTTCTTGCAAGTATTATGTGTTAGATCGATAAATCCTGGTCTATTTCAAAAAATGTTAAGCTGTTAAACAAACAAACTCACGTAGACGTAGCTTTATTTAATAAAACTGTGTTTAATAAAGTAAACACTAAAGTGTAGTAATGGTATTAATAATAGTGTACAGAGTATGAAACAGTCGTGAGCATTCAGTGTATGACAGAGTTTTACGAGTTGAAACAAAAATCACACAAAAACAAAGAATAAAACTCGTGTTAAACAACAAATTAATTAAAAGGTGTTTATAGCAGTCTATGAAACGAATCAAAGCCAAATTATTGCAAAATAAAGTAAATGTGAAGGGAAGGCAGCTAGTCATCAACTCTTACCGCCAACTCTTGGGCTACTCTTTTACCAACAAATACTGAGATTGACCGTAACTTATAACGTCCCCACAGCTGAAAGGGCGAGTATGTTTGGTGGGAGGGAGATTGGAATCCACGACCCTCAGATTGTGAGTCGAGCGCCCTAACCACCTGGCCATACCGGGCCCATTCATTAAGTAGTACCACTTATACGATCGATCTGTGTTTTAATCTGCAAGTCATCACGTTTACGAATACTAGAGCATTCTTTCGCGTGATTAAAATTATTCCGTATTAATTAGTATATTTCTCTTCATAGTACGAGTATTTTCTGTAAACAAAAAGCATATTTTCATGTACCAGGCTGTATCGTCGAGAAACCATTATAAAAAAAAGTATTTACATACATGAGGTCTGTCTGCATTAAAACAGCTATCATATGGCATTGATATTGTTACGTCTCTGTTCGTTTGATAATTTCCGGTATAAATTCTTCCTGGGGAACTTCAGCCGATACAAGTCATTTCTTTAAATAAAACTAGTTTATTCCTTCTCAATACAACTTTGTAATACACCTAATTTCCACAGTCACTTTAACTTAAACACACGCTATAATTCACAACGATTCACGTACTTTACTTACGGTCACTACCGCTCTCTATATCTGTCTATCTGCTATTCTCTCCCCCTATGCAATTATTTGCCGGGCTTATATGCTAAAATAAAGGGTCTCTGGGAAAAACTAGAGTTGCCAGGAAAAGTCAAGATCCTTTGAGAATCTCATGACGTGTTACCAGGGTCACGTGACTTTCGCTATCGTAACAATATATTTCTTTTCGTCAGAGACGTATTAAAACGTCTAGTTAACTTTTCAATCCTTTTCTCTAAAATATATATTTAAGAAATATAAAAACCAGACCATTGAAAAATATACAGAGAGAGTTTTTGTTTGTTTTTTAACCTCTGAATTATTTAAGCTATGTGTTGATACATACAAACTTCCCCGGAATTCATTCAGTCACCCTACTGCGTAATGAACATGCGCCAATACCGGTTTCCATAGAAACCCAACGTTTAGGTGTGTGTATAAGAAATAGTTGAACAGCAGACTATCGTTGTGTATTGACAAATGTAATATAACCTAGGCATGGCTGTATGCATATAATTGTTTTATCTCACACTCTGTTCCGTTATCTTGAACATTATTGTCTCAACACAGTCATTTGGTATAATGATAATTAACGTGACAGTTAAATGTTAAAATATCGAACATATAATTAGGCATGTGAAAGTATTGATCTATTACATACTAGAATACTTTGTCATGGAATTATAATAAAAACTAAAAAAAAAGGTAGTGTTGCTGTGGGTTCTTCTAACTTTAAACAAAATACTTAATAATATCTGGTTCAGTTATACTTTTCTCATTACAGTCTAATTTAATTCTGCCAAACGTGACATTATAGTATGTGGGTTGCTGTGGGTTCTTCTAACTTTAACAAAATACTTAATAATATCTGGTTCAGTTATACTTTTCTCATTACAGTCTAATTTAATTCTGCCAAACGTATAACGTGACATTATAGTATCGGGTGGCTCGTGATGTCTTCTCCAAGCTGGCTGACGTGGTTTCTAAGTAACCAACCCCACTGCTGTATACACTTGCTCGACTGGAAGAGATTGTTCGTAGGACAGACATATACAGTTGTCAATCAATTTCTCAGTAGCGTACGCTTGATTCGTCCTTAACCTCGCTTCAGCTTAGAACTGGTTTATTATTGTTTTTGTTGTTTTTTTTTATGTTTGTTACTAAAAGTTGACAGTGGAAACACCTAACAATTCTAAAGACCTGTTAAACATTATGGAAAAGAAAACTACTTTATTTGTATTTGTAGATTGCTTTTAGATTTAGTGTCAGTGAAAACCACCACTGGGCTTTGATAAAGCACGTGACCATGTCATTCCCAATGTTGGTACTACCTGCGGTAGAATGTTCAATACGAATTACGAATTTATGCATTATATTTTCTATAGTGCCCTAGGATATGATTCATTTGTTTGTAGTTAAGCACAAAGCTAAACAATGGGCTATCTATGCTGTGCCCATCACGGGTATCGAAACCCGATTTTTGGGGTCGTAAGCC